GGGGCGCCGCTCGCCGCGGGGGTGGGTTGGGGTTTGCGGCCCTCGCTCCTTAAAATCCCCTTGGAAAATCCCTGCGCGTTTCGTGTTTTACCTCTGGAACAAGCAGTCACCCCGCAGAGGGTTTCAGACTGACGCCGATGAGTCCTCGCGCTCCGGCAGAGATGAAGTGGGGCTAATTCACCAGAGAGAAATGGAAGGACAAACGCAGGGCGACAGTAGATCCAGCCTGCAGTTTTAGGGGGATATCCACAACCTCCTCACTTTGTTTTGGCAAATGGGAAAAAGTGAAGCACTCTGCAGTGAAGAGAATTACCTGAGCGAGAGCAAGTAAGGACAGACACAGCAGGACACTAACTCTCCATCTCCTTACCACAACCACTGATTTTTTAAAAATATCCTTTTCTTTAGCATCATACAAGACAATTGCTTAATTTTGATCAGCTGCAATCTTAAAAAAAAAAAAAAAACACTCTTGTGAATTCAAGCCCCTGTGTCCCCAAGCCACCCTGCTGGCTTGGTTTGCAGCCAAATTCCCACCCCATCCTGAGCCCACTGGTCCCCTCCACTGCCTGTGATGCCCAGGGAGCTGCTGCTGGAGCTGCAGCAGGGATCACCTTGGCCCCGGGGAGGCTGCGCACCCCGCGCTCCCCTTGTGACAAGATGACTTATCAGCTGTTGGGGTTGCCTTGGCAACCGTTTGAATTTTTTAGCACCAACCCTGGCTTTGGTCAGACAGGGAGGGAAGGCTGGGGAGCCTCATTAACATGTTGGCCCGCCTGGGAAACCAGCCAAATGACTTGGTTTAATTAGCCCACTGGGTTGATGGCAAGAAAGGGAAAGTGCTGGAAATCTTCCGTGTCCTCCAATGGCACGGAATCCTTGGGACCGTCCCCCCTCACCTACCAGCAGCGGCATCCAGACACCCCATAGCTCTGCATTGTCCCCTGAATTCAGCCTGAAGTCACCCAGCCTCGCGCTTCCAAACGGAGCGTCCAGACCGCAGCAGGCACAGAGGGACATCCAGGCAACATGTGGCTGGGGAAGCTCCCTTCAGGATACACACGGGACATTTTGGGTGGATGTAGCATTCTTGGAGACATCGGCTTCTCCCTTGGCACCTAGAAATTGCTGCACACATGAGGGCCTGGCAGCTCCGCGGTCTGCGACGGAGCGGCAAAGCCTGCAATGAGCTGCCCCAGACAGCATTACCTTCGTGCCCTTCGCATTCCCCTGAAGGGGACCAGCCTAAGAGCCACCAAACCCCCCCGTTTCTCTTCCTCCACGGAGGATTCCGAGCTCGGGGAAGCTCATTGTAGCTGCCTGTGCTCCCCCAAACAGCCTGCAGCAAAACAACAGGCACCTGGACCTGGCACCCTGCCAGGCTGGGCGCCCTCTCCCGGCGGGGCCACGGCGGCACCCGGGCCTCGAGGGAGGGCGCCAAGGCCTCGGGCAGGCTCCAGGCCAGAACGGAAGAGGCTCACGGTGCTGCCGGTCACCCTGGGGCCTCGCTGCCCCCCACGGCAGCAGGGCCTGCCAGAGCCTCGCTGCCCCTAGAGCCATGTTGGGAGTATCG